TGTTTTCCGTTTTTTCTTTTTTTCTTTTAAATATATCAATTGTGGTGTAAATTTAGTATTTTTATTTTTTGTTCCTTGAGTTAGGACATGTGTCACGACCTTATTGGTGCGTGATATTATATATATTCTAAAAAACTGGTTAAGAAAAAAGTGGTGTGTCTGAGATACACTTTGGAAGGTTGGGCGTGTAAAGTAATATTCGTTCATAGAAAGTATGTAACATGGATTTGGGCCATAAGTCAGGTGACAACTTATGTATTTTGCCAAAAATATTGTATTTTAAATTTTAGTCTTTTATATATGGATTAGGGGCGTTGAAGTGGCATGTCATGTGGCATCCCTCATCAAACATCAGTGCCTCGTAAGATTGAATGTCCACCTTGGACAAACTTAACGAAGGTATATTTAAACCTTTTCGCATAGTACAAGGATATATTTGANATATATATATAAATTCCTTTCTGATATTTTAATCACGAGAACAAGTGTTGCGAAGAAATTTAGTGATATATAAATAATATATTCATATTCAGAAAAGGCTCATCTAGAAGACACCGCCTTATTCTTAGTACCCTCCTCCTATATCCCAATCGTCAGGTCGTTTAGGTTCATAAGCCAGTCCAAAGTTGTCTTTCCTGCTACTCTCTCCAAAACAATGTCAACTTTTCCATTGGATGTTCTGGCCGAAATCCTCTGTCGACTACCCATTGATTGTGCGTTACGTTGTAGGTGCGTATCAAGATCTTGGCGGGCTCTTATTGATAGTGCAGAGTTTGCAAAATTGCATGTCAAGTATTCAGTGAAAACCAATTCTAATCTTCGGTTGATGTTGAGAAAGGTCGACTATTTTGGATATGGAAAACGTTGCTTTTTCTCTCTAGACTTTGATTCTCTCAACTCCCGAGTTGTTACTCCCAAAGAATTGACTAACCCTTTGATGTCTTCTGAAATTAACACCAAGATACTTGGTTCTTGCAATTGATTGTTGTTGATATCAAATACTGTGGATGAAATTGCCTTATGGAACCCTTCAACGGGAAAATACAATAAGATACCAGTTGTGGGGATTACTGAAAACCATGTGCATGTTAATTTTGGTTTTGGGTATGATGTTACTAATGATGACTATAAGGTTGTTAGAATTGTGCAGTTTTCCGGAACTGAAAAAGGTTCTTTTCCCTCTGATGTTAAGGTTTTCAGTTTGAGATCAAGTTGTTGGAGACGGGTTGAAGAAGAACTTCCTTATTACCTCCGATATGAAGATCAACCAGGTACATATCTTAATGGTTCATTGCATTGGATTGCTAGTGCTAAGATGGAAAGACCTGCGAATAAGTTAGAACCACTGATTTTTGCTTTTGATCTTGGAACTGAAAAATGGGGACTCGTACCGCGTCCCCCTTATACTGATACGGGTTTCATTGTGAGGTTGGTCGTATTGGGAGGCTCTCTTTGCACATATAAAACCTACTTTATAGATGATTGGGAAAATGGGGATCTTGTTTTGGACCATGTGGACATATGGGTAATGAAGGAATATGGAATTAGGGATTCGTGGGCTATGCTTATATCACTTGAACAGCCAGATAAGTGTATTGGTCATACTGTACTCCCACTTGCAAATTCGAAGAGTGGAAAGGAAGTTCTTTTGGAGCAAGATAATAGGCGATTCCTGTGGACTAGTATTGAGGGGGACTCCATAAAGATTGTTGATACTGAAATTGGGAATTTACGTGGCTTTCTACATTTCAATAGTTATATTTATTTGGGAAGCCTCGTTAACCTTAGTTCCAATAGTGATCTGAAGAAACAGTTAAATCAAGATAAAGGAGGAAATAAGAAAGCCCTAAAGAAGAGGTTGGTCATTCAGTTAATTTGTGGTTATGTTGTAGCCTTCTTTCTTTTACGTAGAGCTTTTAAGATCACTCGTTTCAACAACAGGGCACTATTGTTAACATTTAGATGAAGTGGAGAGTCCATATTATTTTCTATGCAACAGGGAGATTGCTTATACAAGTTATGTTTTGTATCTGCTTCCTTTCTTTGCTAAATTTTCTATTTTATCCTTCACTTGATATATAGGGGAGATGATTTCCTTTCAAAGGGGTTCAAGTTGAAGCTTTGAGCAATGAATGAAGTGAAGATTCAGATGGTCAAGGTACCTTCTATATATACCCTCTATAAAAAAAATAAGCAGGATGTTCCTTAATATGATTTTAGAGTTTAATGGTGGCGTTGATTTTCTCGAAACTTAAACAAAGCAGCATTTGATTCCTGGTATTACCTCTTCATTTTCTCTTATGAAATTGTTTTGGTGTATTTCCATGTTGCTTTTTGCTCAATGGTGTAAGTTACTATTTACTCCGTGCTTCTGTTAGTGTGCAGCTTAGTCTTAAAAATTGTGTTGACAAGGAACTTAAGTATATAAGAAACTTATTTTGGCAACGATGGGTACAAAAAATAATCATACAGGTCATGTAATGAAGTTAACTTAAACTTTAGTAGTCCAAGTGCAACTGAAGAGTCTGACCATATAATTTTCTTTGCTTAACCTGAAGAACTGAAAGTAGCTTTCCACACTGAAGTGTACTAATTAAATTGCCTCACTTTTGTTACTTTCTTTATCTTTGTTTGTTCTCTTCAATATTAAGAGTAGTGATATGCTAGTCCTTTCTAAGTTTTCAATGCTTGATCACATGATAAAATCGGTTGCATGCTTAAGTAAACTGGAATTTCTAGAACTTGTACTTCGCTCCTTGTCATAATCAACATGTTATTGTTGCATCTTAAGTTGGCTGCTCTCTCTCTCTCTCTCATGAGTTTTCTCTTAAAATCAATCTGCTTGTGATGTACAGAAGATAAAAAAGAAATATTGATGAGAAACCATCAAATAGTCGCATAACAAAATTGAGCCTTTTCACTATTATAAAAAAGAATGGCCTTTTTTTCATTAGCTCCAATGACTAAATAGTCTTCAGATGGATGAATGGTGAATCAAGAATGGTATATTGAAACCCTTTCACATTAGATCATGATTTCAGCTGATTCTAGCACTTGCAAATATGTAATGTTTAAGGTTGCCCATTTTTATCATTTTGATGTTCTATAGTTAATTGCTCAAGTCATAGAGTTTGCTGCTCCTAGCACATGTATTTGACATTTTTTGGGGGTAAAAGTGACAAGCATTTCTATGAATGGCATAAATTCCATTTGGAGGAACCAGATTTTGATTGGTGAACTTTTTAACTGAAATCAACTACTACAAGATAGTAGGTCTTTCCTCAATTAGAGTTTCCAATTTTCCTCATCCAGCTTCCTGGTATGTTTCTTCTCCATCAATGACCTCATCCTCTGGCTGCCTTCTTTTGAGTTATCAGTATGCAACTTATATTTCTAAACCTTTTAGGTTGGATATGGACATACCTTTGTAGTTTTCTCATTTTAATTCAACGAGAATTATGTTTTTCCATTGGAGCATAATATTAAATTTGATTAACTGTGACTTCTCTGCAAGTTGTAACGTTGCCTATGCTATCCAGGCCAAGATGGTTGACTTCTCTGCGAGTTGTAAGGTTGACATATTTGTGGGGTATTAGGGCATTTTAAATTAAATATGCAGGTGAAGTAATGGATGGGATTGGGAAGTTGGTGGCAGTGCTCTACCAATTCTTTCCTGTGAATATGGTTATATAAGTAGTTGTTTCTTTTTTTTGGCAGGTTGTGTTTTTGATGGTTGAACACTGAACGTTGACTTTAACGTCCAATATCCCTACTATCCTTTGATGTAAATAGTAGATACTTATGTTTTGATATATCAGTTTCCAGTCGATAAAGCTGATGAACTGTATGGAATTTACATATATGCATTTGGAATTGTAATGGATTTAGTGAATGGTCCACTTCAGTTGCTGGTCTATTCTTTTGCTGGGCTTAATTATTGACAGGACACTGAAATTGTAGACATGGTCTTACCCCTTGAAAGACATTACTCTCTCGTTCCCGTTTCAAATTAGATGAGGTACTTTCCTTTTTAGTCTGTTCCAAAATAAATGATACATTTTTAAATTTGGAAATAATTCAACTTTAAATTCTTTATTTTACCCATTTTACCCTTAATGAGAAGCTTTTGTAATCACACAAATGTCATGGCCACACAAAGCTTTTACGCCATAAGCTTTTAAGACCACAAGTTTCAAAAGTCTTTTTTTTTTCTTAAACTTCTTTCCGAGTCAAACTACCTCGTCTAAATTGAAACGGACGGAGGGAGTATTATTATTTTTCATGGGGTTACAATGCACTATTTAAGTGATATCTAGTTTCCTCTCCCTATATGTTTTGGTTAAACAGAGAAAAAAAATTGCATTAGGTGATTTGTCAAAATTTAGAGAAATTGCTATTCAAGCATCAAATTTTGAGGTGGTTGATACCTTGTCAAGTGACAAAGATGGATGGTGGAAATCAAAGGTATTGAGATAATCCTGTTGTGTAAACTATATTCAGTTCCTGTAAACTATGCTTTCATCTCTTCGTTTATTTTGTTCTGTTACTAAACATTGTGCGTGGGATTATGGCAAAGCTTAGCCTTAAAATTCTTCAAGTATTTAACATTTAAATGATAGAGTTGATTTATCATTTGTGTAGCAGTTGATGATAGCAACATGACCTATGGGGATAGAATCAAGATGAGTGTGACGAGAGAAATAAAGCTCCTCATAACTATACTTTCAGCAAATTTATCATTTGTAGTTATATTTGAATTTTATAGTAAATTCATGAAATAAGAGATTAATTATTTTGAACTAAAATAAGAGAGCAACAAACTCTCGTAGCTCAATAGGTTAGAGCGCTCATTTAATTAGCAGAGGGCTTGAGTTCGACGACTCTCAACAAGAGCGTTTTATTTTTTCGTATTTATGTGTTTCACCTTGGTTATATTCGTTGTGAGCACGTGATTTTTGCTTTGCGCGACAATCGCTCCAAAAGAATAAAATATTTTTTTTTTGGTCCTGCTGTACAATTTTTGGATTTCTGTACGGCACTTTGTTGATTTATTTGTGACTTTTGCCCATTTTTATTTTTATTTATTTTTATTGTTTAAAACAAAATACAAGAAATGTGTGTGTCATGCATAATTCGAACCGCAATCCGGTCGTTAAATAGAAAATCACAGATAGGCATCTTCGTCCGTGATTTTGTTTTGTTTGATTTTACCTG